TTTCATCACTTTTTTGTTTTAACAAACTTCTAAATATTTTTTTCAGTTTTACAGTAAAATTGAAGCTGAAATGTTGGCTAAGCTTTTTACAAAATGTCAACAGATTTTTAACATAACCACAATTAGAATAATTTTAAGAATACTGCTTTTTTTTCTCCCCAGAATCAAAACCTTTTCAGTCCTTCACAGTATTACAGATCCTTTGATAGCGCTGTGCTTTTGCACCATGCTTTTTTGGTCATTTGAGGTTTTGGCACTGAACACAATCGTATTTGACTCTTATTTATAGCAGTCTGCCTTCTTTAACCATGAACACAGCACTGTCATGCTTCCAGGGCGTAAGTACTGTTATTTACTTTTGCAGTTAATGTACCAATAATATAACTCCACTTGAAGAGAACTGGGGTCTTGCCAGTCTCCTTTGCTTGAATACAGAAAATAAGGCTGGAATTCGTTTAAAAACAAAACAGAGCTCCTAGAAGTACCACAGTATGTTAAAGACTTGCTTATCTTAGTGAACGAAGAACCCGGATCCATTTTAGATAGTGAAACTAAGAAGTATGTTAAAAAACAGGTGCAAGAAAATGTATCAATGCTTTGATGTCTTTGTGCAGCGTTCACCATTTTGTCTGTGAACAGTATTGGGAAAGAATGGGGCCAAAACCACCCGCCCCACAGCTTTTGTGCCCAAGCAGGAGGGGCTCCAGGCCTTGGGGGCACCAGGGCTCGGAGGCCGCCCTGCCCTGCCCTCCCCTCCCTCCCTCCAAAAAAAATCGTCCCTGCCATCAAGAAGATGGCGTCAGGCCCCAAGCTGCCAGGAAAAGTTTCTGGGCTGAACGCGCAGCTGGGGGAAAGGGGCGCCTGCGCCCCAAACGCGTGCAAGGCTGCTCCGCGGGGCGCCAGGCATGAGGCCTGGCCGTCCCCAGCGCTGGCGACCGGGGTGCCCGCAGCCCCCCGACCCTCCCCTTCTCCCCTTCCCCAGTCCCCTCCACCGCACAGCCCGCCCCTCCCGCTCCCTCTTTCCGCCCTCGCCTTCGCGTTTCCTGTCTGGGCGGAGGAGGTTTGGCCCTGCGCCGC